TGTTAATTAACATTGTTTTAATCTTAAGAAAGTTAAGAAAATCTTTTTCTGTCATACTCTTGATCATATCGTCATATTTATAGATGATTATGATTGTATTTATTTTTTTTTTGTTTGGAAAAAGACAATTTGAGATGTAATATTATTTTTAAAACTTAGGCAATTAAATTATACAATTTTAATATAAACAATTTATATTTAAATTTAAATATTAACAAACTCAGCCAAACTCAGTCAAATAATGGAACCAATAACCACCGTTGAATTTATAGTTTTTATATACGAATTATAATCTAAATGTGACACTATACTTTTTTTACTTTACCTTCACCATTTTGTCATTAAAATTATAGTAAACCTCTAAGGGTAATTTCCATATGTAAAGATTGTATTGTATTCCTTTTTTTATTTTATTATCTCAGATATTTTAGAATTGAGCACATTGTAGAGAAAGAATAATAGATAGATAGTTTTTCAATTGATCCAGATATCCCGTGGGGCAAACTGCTGCCAAAAATGATGTACCAAATGTGCTACCAAATTATTTCCAAAACAATACCAAATTAGAACAAAGAATACCAAATTAGTATTATTCTTTTTAGTATCTAAAGAATTTAAGATAAGGTCATAAAAACATATAAGCTTAATTCGAGTTCCAAAAAACTAGAACGGTTCTAGAACGGTTTAAAACAATGGCACAGTCTAATTACGACAATCATTCATGTCAAAAGTTGCAAAAAATCATATTGCGCCAGTGTTTTCAACCGTTCTAGAACCGTACTTTTTGGGAACTCGAATAAAGCTCCTGTCATGACACGTTTAAAAAGTCATTTTAACGGTTCCATTAACATGGATACTTCAAAAATTTATAAAATAAAAACTTGTACATAAAAACTAATTGAATTTTTTTGTTATTTGCGCTATTTGTTACTTATAAGCTCAAAAATATTAAATTAATATAGTATTAATTATATGCACAAGAAAAATAAGAAATTCTAACGAGATCCATATTATGTTTCCATGATGCGAGTTCTTTAATTTCTTGACATTTTTTCGTATGACGCTATGTACCGTTTTTGCGTAAAAACCATTTTTATGCATTGAAAAATTGCAAGCTTGGCAATTAATATCGTGTAAAAATAACCTATTTTTCAAATAGGCCAGCAACCTAACCTCGAAACACAAGTAATTATTCTTAAGTATGTATATTACGATGTATATTTTATTGTTAAGTAGGTACTTACCTTGGACACTAAATATAAAAACTTTAAAATACTTCATATAAAATAGGTCAACACCAAAAATTTTTGATCGTGTAAAAAGCGCGAAGGCGGTTCATTTTCAATGCAACTGGGCTAGAAATGATGCAATCAGCTTCCCGGTTCCCGGCCGTCGCGTCGCCACGTGCGTCTAATCCACATCCTCCGTTGCCAGATGTCCAACAAAATACCTGTTTAATACCAGTTTAATACCAAATAAAACCAGTTTATTACCAAATTATACCAGTTTATTACCAAATAATACCAAATTAGTACCAAAAATACCAAATTAGTACCAAAAGTACCAAAAAATACCAGTATTACCAAGTGCTTGTACAATATACCACCAGCGGTTTGCCCCTCGAGATATCCTGTATAAGACATAATCAAAAGCTTCCGGATTCATATAGCTGTAGCCTATAGAAGTGCTTATTTAAATTATGAAATTCTCCAAATAAATGAACTCCAAATGTGTTTGGTTTGGTTTGGTAGATGAAATGTGCACAGCTCAAATAAGTGCGTAACTCTAATAATAGCTCGCACCAGACAATTGGAGAATATGACCATATTGCAGAATTTGAAGATAACAATATCTTCTCCAGAATGACTCGTATTAAAAAACACAACAATTAACTTGTTTTACTTGACTAGTAAGGATCACAACTCCGATATAAACGCCACAAAGAAGCATCTTTTTGAAAAGCTGTTATCCTATTATCGAGGAAAGGTCGAAATTATAATGGAACTGTAACAAACGATAAAAATAAAGAAAACTTCTCTTTACCAGTGAAGCAATGAAATTAAATACCTGTATATTATTTGAAAACAGGTGTTTTCTGTTGAAACAGTGAGTATATCGATTAATATTATTATAAGGTACTGATTTGTTTAGTAAAGTATAAATTAAAGATAAAACATATTTTGGTACTGACTTTTGACAATTTTTCCCTACCCTAGATCAAAACCTAAGTAATGGTTTGAAAAAGCTCTATATTAGATTTCCTATTTATGATTTTCACTTTACAATATGTAATTTAAAAAATATTCCTTGCTTATTTGACACTAAAGTTGAATTTTTTGCCTAAAATGTTGTATAATTTACCTGCATAGTGAATTTGCCATAAAATTCTTATTTGAAAATGAACTTAATAAAATTGAGCTACTACTATTTATCTAAATAGGTAAGTTAAATAATATTAGTAGGTAACATAATATGAACAAATATTCATCTTAAAACTCAATGGTTGGAAAAGCCAGTTGCACTTTTAATTTATAATCAATTAAATTATTTATTTTGTATGAATATAATAACGAGTTATTATTAAACACTGTCAATTATTATGATATATTTCCAGGAAGTAATAACTCTTCAAAAATACAATTACGTAAAACAACATATTTTTAACGCACCTGTCAACTAATATTGCGTTTACTATCATCAAAAAATATTGAAGATTTAGAAAAAATTAAATGAAACTGGTTGTGAATGAGTCTTTACGTTCAGAACCAGCAGAACCTCGAAATTACTGGAATAAATTAGTGGTTTCAATTATGCTTTATTTTTAAGAGTTTACAGTAATTTATAATGTCTAAAAAATACAATTAAAATTAATAGAATATCCTAGCATCAGCTTGCGGCAGTCAGTTGTATCCATAGAGAAAACCAGATAATTAACGCCTAAGTTAAAACTGCTTATATTCTGTGCATAATGATGTAGAATGTAGAATGTTTAGGAGGGGAGCTAATCACCGCGACCTTACAGATCTATTATGAGTTCCCCTTTCTTGAGTTATAACTCATCATACAGTCCCAGGACTATGACAAAAGCCAGTATCTGGGACGGTTTTACAGAGGGTAGTTCTCCATCTCCAATATCATTCGTACCAAAGTTCATGGCACGAAATATTGTCGTCTCGGCGCATTCAGTGATGAGGTGTTTTGGTGTTTCCCCATTTTTCCCACAAAATCTGCATTCACCGTTGCTTCTCACCTTCAGCCTACTGAGGTGTTCGTTGAGGAGAAGGAGGTGTCCTGTTAGAAACCCCGTGTTTTTACTTAAATCAAGGAAACCTTTGATTTTTCTCAATCATAAAAGTTCTGAGGAACTTTTTCGAGTGTCTTAGACCGTTGGAGGACTCCCATTCCAGGTTACAGATGGAGTCTTCCAGATTCTTCAGTTCCGCTTTCAGTTGGTTCCCGCTTGGAAAACAGAACGGTTCTGGCCTAGTTAGTGGAGTGTTTGCTCGTTTTCTAGCTAGATCATTTGCTTTTTCACATTGCCTACTATCCCTTGGGGAGCAGGCACCCAGAGTAGGCAGACTTTATTTTCTTTGCCTAATTTGCTAAGCTTCTCTAGGCATTCTTTGACTAACTTCGAATTGATCGTTACTGAGTTAATCGCGTATCGGATAGGATGGCAATTTGCTGTTTTCGATAGATCTAAGATAAATTGTACGCATCTTTCGATAGCGTAAATTTCTGCCTGAACGATGGTTCGGAGTATTTAGTTTTTGGCCTAAATACTCCTATCCCTGTCCCTGCTTTGGTTTTGGAAGCATCAGTATACCACGTTATGGTATGGTCTTTTCGAAGGTCTTTTACATGCTGAGCAAGCGTTTCTTCCTTCCAATCCTTTTTATTACTCTGAGTGAGGTGTTTATCAAAGTTGTAAATTCTAGGTATGTCATCCACTGGGAGTTGGAAAAGTGGAATTTTCTTTTTGAGGGTGTTCCAAGCCCCTGAAAAGAAAGCATCGCATCAATTAGTATCTCTGGTTGAATTGCCTATTCGAGGACAATCTCCAGATGACTATGCATTAAGTTGAAACGTGGGTACACAAAGAACCCGTGCTCCGCCTCTGCAGGAACTCCTGGACAGGACGGGCACTCCGCGGAATCATCGAGCTTAAAACGATGAAGATATGCTCGGAAGTAACCATGTCCTGAGGTCATCTGTATCAGGTAGTAGTTGACCTCACCGTGTTTTCGATTCAGCCAAACATTAAACAGATGTAGAAGACGGTACGTCCACCTACCCTTTGCTGAGGCCTCCTACTGTACCTGCCATCGGCGTATGCTATGCTGCCGCTCTTCTCTTCTGAGTGCATCAGGGTTCAGTGCTGACGATCCTCTTTATCGATGAAGGACTTGCCTTTCTTCGGCTAGAATTCCAATAGAAAATATTCCAGCGATAACGCACAACGCATCCTCAGACACCGTGCGGAAGGCACTAGCTACTCTCAGGGCACTCAGCCTATATACTGATGCGACTCTTCTCCGTGTTCCTTGTATTCTGAGGGAGTCAACCGAAACAGAAATTCCATAAGTCAGTACCGATGTGAATACTGACGATAGCAATGACCTCCTAATTTGTTTCGGGCCTCCAACATTCTGCATCAGCCGTGGTACGCTAACTCTAACTGCTTACGCTTTGGTACATACATGTTCCACTTGCTGCTTAAAATTTAGCCTGGCATCAAGCATCACTTCCAAATATCGAATGAACGGATGTGATATGATCTCCTGCTTCAACCTTTTTTCTACTAGTTATGAGCATTGCCTCTCTCTTTTTATAAATACACTACATGATGAGCGTACTAATTCTGCAGCCGGATCTTGGACTATAAGCATTGATAGCGGATTCTACCGGACTATGCTTCCAAATCGCATCGTCCTCCTCTTCTGCTGATCGCCGACGCGATGACGGTCAAAAAGCTGCTGCGGACAGGACACAACGCGGAACGGTACAAACGGCGAGTGGTCGAGGTCTCAGCAGGTGAAAACAGGGCTCATTAGCTATCGACTCTTCGCTCGTGGCGGTCTGAGACACGAGAAAGCCGTCGCGCATTTCGCAGAATCGAGAGAAAACAACGACGAGACTCGTCTTTGTGCGTGTTTCACTTAAAACCGGGAAAATACAAGGAAAAGGTAAAAGTCAAGTGAGATTTGTCTGCTCGTCAGTGCGCTAGTTTTTTTCTTTCGTTTTCGTATGTCGGAGGATTGATTTGCAAACCGTATTGGGCCAATGACAATAATCGGAGTCTGTTAAGGATTGTTTTAATATTTTTATTCATCTTTTTTGGTAAGCTAAATTGATATCATTTATTTCATTATTAAAAAAAAAACTTCTGTACACTCCCACACATTTCTTATAAATTATAGTAATTGGAGATATATAGAGCTTATGTTAAAAATTGTTAAAAAAATATATTAAAATTTTTGTTAATTGTTGGTTTGTGGATGTTTTTTTTATTTTGTCTTTATTTTTTAATTATGCTTTTTTATTTTTGCTCTGATTTTTTTTCTATCAATATATACCAATATTCTACAAATAGCAAAAACATAATAGGGATATTAGAGCAAAAAACTGTGTTTCATATATTTACTTTAAATAAAAACACTATTGTTTATGAATATCCTTATTACGAGTATGTCGATAATTAAAAAGATTTTTTTTAATTAAATAATTAATAATAAGTAATTTAGAATCACAGATATAACATTTTAAAAAATATAAATTTAACAAATTACAAAAAAAAAAATACCAAAATTTGATTTTGGTATTTAAATGTTATATGAAATTTGTTAATTGTGAATTTGTATGAAGTTTTTGAATTTTGTTGATAAATTCCTTTTTAGTTTCGAATTTTATTTATTTTATTATTTATGTATTACCATAAATAATCTTCAATATATAAAATTATAAATATATATTATTAATTGAGTAGTTGCGAACACAAAATATCATATTTTTACTAAGTTTTTAATTTGGTTTTAAATGTTAAAAATGGCTCCCTTGAATTCACTGTAATATATGCATATAATTATGTATTAAATTAATATATGCATATAATAATATCAATATGAATAATATGAATATATTATTCACATAATAATATGAATAAACAGTTATTATTAACAAAATTTCATTAAATTTTATACTCATTATTTCACAAACGTAAAAAAATAATTTAAGAACTTACCTATTTTGGTTTCACCGATTTCACAGTTGCAGGTATCTAAAGCCTTTATTGGCATTATAGGGGTCATTATCCCATTAGTATATTCTTCATGTTGTATTTGGCTTTATTTAAGGTTTTGAAGGAATTCAATATTATTTATAACCACTATATTAGCATTGCTACATAACAGTGATATAAAGTATTTATTTTAGATAAGTTTATTGGCTATTTATATACAAATATTGCTTATAAATAATAGATGTTTTATTGTAATTTATTTATAGATTTGCATGACCACAATAAGGCCACTGGCAAGTATTGATGATGGTTGTGTTATTATTTGCTCGAAATATGATATTATAACACCTAGAAATAATATACAAAGTAATATGTATTAACAAACACAAAGAACAACAACAACAAATTACTTAAAAAAATGGTTTTAAGAACAAATTTAAATTAAAGCTAATTGAATATGACATTGAATAGACCGTTTATAATTGAATGGTTATCTAAGGAATAAAATATATAAAATCATAGCATTACTATTAGCAGAATAATTAAAAATTATTGGTATTTAATGTACCGGGTGCGTCTCAAAAGTGGCTCACCCCTTTTTTATTTTTTTTTTGAAGTAAAAATCGAGATTTGGTATATTAGTATATGACATAAATTAGGATTGATTGACGTATTCAATTGTTTTCGGTCACTTACTGTTTCACCGAAAATGACTAGAACTTTTCATTTTTAAATGGCACCCTCGGTATTTTGTTACTTGATTCGATATAAAATAACACTCTGAATAGAATAACATATCATGTCAACTTTTGACATTCTCGAATATGGTTTATTTGCAATTGCAACGTGCAATTCACAACGACAATTTGATTCGAAATGCCAAGTGGATGGTACTAAATTATTTGCTAATGGACCACCCTCGTTCCATTTGAACAAATTGAGATATTATTAAAAATATGATTTCAGCATCTTTTAACCGGCCAAGACACTAAAAACATTAGACGATCAAATATATTTTTCCAAGGCTCCTTGATTAGAAATTAGTGTTTTTAACACAGCCATGGCACTGAAAAAACACAGCCATGGCAACTGAAATCTCACTTGATTTTCAGTACAGACTCTGATGCACTGGAGACTTCAGAAACTTATTGGACTGACATTAATAATAATAATAATAATAATAAAAATATTTATTTCAAAAATGATCTAAATATGTACAATAAAATTACAAATATGTAGACATATTGAAATATTGTCAGCGGTGAAGAGACTTTTATACCTATTAAGAATTCATTGATTGAGTAGGGTTCCAATTCAATTAAGAGTTTTTTCAATGATTTCTTATAGGTTTCTTGACTTTCGATTGCTCTTATGTCTTCAGGGCTATTGTAAAACTTTACACACATATATACTGGATTTTTTTCAGTCAGGGTGAGACGATGTGAGGGGAACTTGGCATCACTGGATCTTGTTTGGTATTCATGAGATTTTACCATTTCAAATAGGGACTTATGTTTGAAGATGAATATTAAACACTCATATATATAAAGAGCTGGAAGCGTCATAATTCCGAAGGATTTAAAGTGTCCTCGACAGCTTTCTCTGTACTGAAGTTTCTTTATAAGTCTTATAATTCTTTTCTGAATTACAAAAATTTTTGCAGTTTCTGAATTTGATCCCCAGAGAATAATTCCATATCTCAGCAGTGCCTCAAAGTTCCCACAGTATAGTGTCTTCATTGAGTCTGGGTTCACATAACTCTACGACATTGACTCTACGTTTGAAAATATACATAACGTTTCGGTCAGATATATCACTGACCATTATTGGTTCACACTTGATAACGGTCAGTGATATACCTGATCAAAATGTTGTGTAAATTTCAAAATTAAAGACAATGTCAGTTCAGGAAGATATTTCATCATTCATCATTGTCTACCACATTCAAGTAAATAAATATTTTGATTAAATTGTCATTTTGAGAAAAATGCATTCTTCATTTGTAGAAAGATATTTCTTATATATTAAAAATAGGTCATAATATGCCTGCATAGCATAGGTCATGGCAGTCATGACCTATGTATGGAAAACCTCTTGTATCTTAGCGCCTCTCCTATTCAATATATGCATGGCGACGCTCTCCATTATAGTGGACAGCAAACTGCAGGAGAGAGGTTTGGGCATTAGATACACATACGACGGCGGTCTGTTTAACATAAAAAGACTCAGGGCAAAAACACGTACAAAATTCATCACAGAACTTCAGTACACTCGGCTGATGACTGTGCTCTATAGTTGCAAATACGTTAGAGCAATTTCAAGAAATGTTGAACACATATACATGGACATACGAGGCTTAGGGACTTAAGTTGAACATCGATAAAACTAAAATCATGTGCACTCCCCCGGAAGATCACAACAATGCTATAAAAATCGGAGAAGAACTATTGGAATATGTAGCGGAGTTCAATTACCTCGGCCGGCAGTTTGATTTCGGAAAAGGCCAATATCGACTCTGAAATTCAGCACAGGATTAGCAGCGCCTCAAGAGCATTCTGGAAATTAAAAGACATGGTTTTCTACAATCATGACTTGAGCACAAAAACGAAACTTGCAGTGTGCCGAGCAATTATAATCCCTACCATGTTATATGGGAGCGAAACCTGGGTGCCGCGCCGTACCGCCGACACATGAACGCATTAAACAAGTTACAACAGAGACATCTTAAACAACTCTTAAGAATAAAATGGTTCCATTATGTCTCAAACGTATCGGTCCTTGAAAAAGCCAACTGCGAGAGCATTGAAGCCATGATTACAAAATCCCGCTAAAGATGGGTTGGTCACGTACGCAGAATGCAAGAAAACCGTATACCAAAGTCTCTGCTTTACGGTGAACTTGTAGACGGCAAGAGGAGGCCGTGTAGACAACTCAAAAGGTAAAAGTATTTTTCCACGAAAATTTAGGGGGGATTAACATGCAGAATGAGTGAGAAGAAGCAGCGCAGAATAGAACGCAATGCAGAAGAATTGTAAACTCAGTTAACAACGACAACCAAAAAGTAAAGAGGCAACAAAGTAATGAGATTTTTGAAAGTCCGAAGTGCGGAAGAGAGATAACATCACGTATCGGACTTTTCAGTCACAGAAAAGCTCATGAAAGGAAACCATCTTCTGATGCGTGTCAAATACTCGTCAGCGAGTAATGGTAGTAGTAGTAGTAGTAAAGTTTTGTATATGGTGATCGCCAGAAATAAAAGGAATGTATTATGGTATTGAGGGAAAACTTCTTCTGATATATGTTCCCCAAGATACGATTCTCGCCTTACAAGTTCATCAGCGCGTTCGTTCCAATCGATGTCTCTGTAGCCTGGAATCCAAAGCAAAGTTATGTCGTATCTATTTGCTTCTACTGCAATTTTCACTTGTTCGCTAAAAAGAAAATAATTGTTAATTTTCTCTTTCTTGTATGAGTAATTTTCAATAGAAATCGAATTAAGCTAATTAACTGTTTTCTAGAGAAAGTAATAAAAATTGGGCCAAATGCAAAAATTAATCGAAAAAACATTAAGTTAATGATTAATTAACTGATATTATTAATTTAATGTTTCTTTTTCTTTGCTGATGAGGACTGTAACAGCCGTTGAAAATTGAGAAGGTCAAGAAAGTATATTAATAGATTTATACTTTTTTCAGAATCTGTGATTGTTTCTAATAGTAATGCAAAATCGTTATTCTAATAATAAATTGTTTATGCAGCTTATGGTAGCATTATATTTGGAAAGAAATTTAAATAGATGGGTTTAAGAATGTTTTTTTGAGATATCAATAAATCAACAATGCGTGACAAATACTGACCAATTTTAGATAGATTGTGACATTTTCAGATATATTATGGTCTTCTTATTTATAGATTACATTGGTTATATGTGCCCTTTTCGCAAAGTCGAATATCTCGGAGAACAATTCATGATTTTTTGTCCATAACTTATTATCATCTGTACAAATACGCGCACATTTACCAGGATGTGACATTGTCAGAAAAATAATTTTAAGTTGCAACATCTCCTTTATACTGCTAAGGCTAATCTGGACGGAGCC